TTTTTGTCTTTTTTTATATAAATTCTTCTATTTATATTTTCATTTTACATGTTTTTCTATGTTTGTCTGTACCTCATCTGTGTTCTTTGTTTAAAACAGGTCTCTCTTGTAAATGAGGCGTCGAGGCTCAATGAGACTAACCTGTATAAATAAAGGTTGAATGAATCTCTAACCAGTTACTGTTTGGAGTCAACCCCATTCATGACCATCACAGCTAACTCGCATTAGAAAACATGAAAATGTCTTCATCTGAGTCATTTTTACAGACACTGAACTAAAATATGTTGTGGTAGTAGCTGAGAGTTATTTCCAGGACATACTCTGAGTTAGAGTTGCATTCTGGCCTAAAAAATCCGGCCCGGACCTGAACCCGTATAATTTTTTTTCAGTCCGACCCGAAACCGACCAATTAACTGTGATTACAGGCCTGAACCCGAAAATCCCCCGACATTTTTTAAATTAAACTTTTACTGCTTTTGTAAGCAAATCAGTTTGGCATGTTTTAAAATGTATTTCAAAGAAAGGAAGATATAAGATTTCTTGTTTATTAACAAGAAGTCAGTGGATTATTATAGTTATTATAATATTATACAAAGTAGTTATTATAATTATTATAGTTATTATAGTTATTATAATATTATACAAAGTAGTTATTATAATTATTATAGTTATTATAATATTATAATTGTTATAGTTATTATAGTTATTATAATTATTATAGTTATTTTAATATTATAGTTATTAACAGACGATGGACGCGCGCGGCTGGTGATCCAAATTGGGTCGTCGACCACGCGTCTCTGCTGACGCAATCGAATATCCCAACACCGACCCGGCCCACCCATCCATTACATTATTTTGGCCAGGCCTGATTTTATGGGTCAGGCCGGGCCAGCACGGGCTGGGCCGGGTGCAGGAGTGGGCTGGGCACGGGCCTGACTTAGAAATGACAGCTCTACTCTGAGCACAAACTGTCCTTAAAAATGTAACTGTTGGAGTCAGCAAAATATCTCACAAAGTACTGGGCATGTTTTCATAAAACGTTCATTAATCATTGGGTCTACATTTACAATCATTTCTCCAGTCAGTGCAAATCAATATGGCCACCACAGTTAATCAACATTAGCTGAAAGAAGATTAGCTTAGCTAATCTTTCAGAAACTGAGCCAAAAATTGGTGTGGTAGTAGTTGAGAGTCATCTCAAATCCAAAGGCTGATTTATACTTGGTGAGATGTCAAAACATCTGCTCATGTAGTTGTAAGAGTTTTTCTTTATGTGGTAATTCTGTACTCGATTGAACTCCTGATAAGCTCCTCCCACCACAGTGCACGTCACGTCAGTCAGAACCAACAGAGTGGATGTTTATTTTCAGTGGATGATGGAGGAAGATTTGTTATTTCTGTTGTTAACTGAGGAGAAGTGCTATTTTGTAAATTTATCATGAAGTGACTGCCATTTCCAATAGACACTGTAGGAATGTACCATTGTGCTGCCTGGGGGAGGCTCCCTCCCTCCCAGTCATCCACTGTCCAACAGTCTTGTGCGATCTCTTCACGAGTTCCTTCACGATCTTCTTAAGATTTATTTGAATATCTTCACTGATTTGACTATCTTTAAAAGGTTTGCTGGAACAATTATAAAAATGGTTGCATCTTCCAACAGCCCTGGCCTTCTGCTCCTCAGCAGAGCAGCAATGACAGCAGCCACTTTTCTAAATAAACACAATACTTTGTGCACACCCCTGCAAGAAAAATGCTGTGCACAGAACTGGTTCTTCTTGGGGGTGGTGCAAGAACAAAAAATATGTAATTTTTGTCATGCAACTGTGTCAGTGAGAACAAATGTCTGCTCGTCTGACAGAGAATAAATCAACCTTTGAGCACTAAGACATGGACTGGAGACCCGTCCAGGGTGTCCCCCGCCCCTCGCACAGTGATTGCTGGACATGGGCACCGGCGACCCCCGTGACCCAAAATGGAATAAGCGGGTAAAGATAATGGATGGATGGATGTTTAAAGTCAGAGACAGAGAGATTTATTTGTCATTGGCATCTCATGTGGTACATGTGGTGGAACGAAATTATGTACACAGGGTCCCAGTTACATCCAACAATAAAATGTAAAAGAAAAACAGTAATAAGATCTAAGATATGAACTAA